TTCTTCTGCGCGGCAACCGTTACGACACTTTCAATCACCACTTTGAAAGGAACTCGAAAGCAGCCAATAAGCTGTACATTAACTACCGTACATCTCCCGGCTTAGATCCAATTGACATTCTAAGTTGTTCATTCATGCCCCCGACTACCTTGTCCCAATAAAGTTACTGGAGGCAAAGGGTCCGAAGTCATGGGTGAGTTCAATGCGGTTGTATCCCAATTTCATGATTGTTTGCAAAAAGGATAACCGGTTTTGTGGTTTCCTTAGCATGCGCATCTTTCCCTTTTGGTACTTTTTTCCTCAGAGAACCCAGCGTCTGCCCAAACAATAGTGAACTGTTTTAGCTTTCAGGATCTGTCTCTCTTGATTTCCTGTACAGGGAGTAGAAGCTTCGACTGCTGATAACCACTTGCTCAAACATAATTTTGGTAGCATGGGAAGAAGCTAACTTCCTGTTGTTAGACATTTGGTCAAATCTTCACTCCCGAAACGAATCTCTTTCAAAACTGAACGTGCGTTGCCTTTTGAAAACCAGCCTCTGCGCAAATCAAACCTGGTTTTGTGGTGCATTGAGATTTTCTCCAATATTGCGATGCATTTTCCCGTGAGATTTATACGATAAAATAATCTGTCTTTCACCAAATGTGCTTCAGCGGGTCACGCAATGTTTAGGATTTTACGATATAAGAGATATCGGAACCCATTTTATAGACGCAATACCCTACTCAGCATATTGTTGAAAAATGTCAGTCCATAGATCTTTTACTACACCGTTCTTTTTGGAATTGCAGATTATAAAACCACCCAAAGAGAAAGGTGCTTCAAATATTGCAGTCAATTTTGAACCAATAGGTCGACAACTCTCTTATTCATCGCGGATTTTATCCGTCCACGCGATATCCATTTGCGCACTTACGCAACCTACCACAGATTGTTAGGGTAGGGTGGTGACTAACTCAGCAAAATACACGACTGCTAACATAAATGTTCGTCAGCTGTTGTTGGGATTCATAGCGGGGTTACAGAGATTTGGAAAATACCGTGAAAAGTTCTTAAAGACTATTTGCATTTTTTTCATAAGATTTGTGTAAATATGAGCAAAATGAGGTACTTTGTTGTTCACCAAGGTCCAATCTAATAGCTAAAGATTCTGCTGGTGAACATGTGAATGTGTGTGCTTGAAGTGCTAGTCAATGATATTCGGTATTAACGCAATAGTCAGGTAAATGTAATGACACACGCAGTGAGTTTCCACTCCGCTCTGATATTTTCCTTCTCGGCAAAGTGCACTCCAATTCCACAATCTTCACCTCAAACGTTTCAGTTGACGTAAATAGACTTGAAGTACTGCTATTGCTTAGGATGCCTTCATACTTCGATCAGAAAATGGCAAATGTGGGCCAATTTCATCACATTGATTGTGAAGGGGATCCCGAGAAATGAGTGCTCAATCGTTATATAAAAGAACATGGAATGTTTGCGGCAATTGTGATGCACGCGATTTTGTAGATTGCCGTGGTCGTTTTTAGGCTAGAAAGGGAAATTTCTGAGCTATTCTAAAATTGTGGGTAAGCAGAATAATTTAATAAACGAATACTAACAAGAAAAATGGTCGCAGCATGCTGAACTTTATAGAAAGATTTCTTCACCTAGGTGATATCAACCTGTTTCGGATACCACCAGCAGTGTGCAGCGCACGATCTTCCTGGTGGATTCGCGCATTCCGATCCCACGAATAACACATCGATTACGCAACCGCAGGGCCACTTCACGCTTAATGGAATCGTCAAGTAAAGTATATCCTAGCCGACTCACCGTGGCTATCTATGAAAGAAAAATTAGTTCATGTCACCAATGGGATGACTGAGCTTGTCAGCGCGTGTTCAGCACAAGGTGCATGTATAAGGGGAGGTGAGTTGGACCAAGGTTAGTTCAACGCAAGAACAAGGCGTTTTTGCTTACAAAGAATCGGATCGCAATGTCGTATGGTTATAGCTTCAGCCACTCCAATTGTGGGTTGCTGCATTGATCAGGGTTGATTGACCGGCGTCTGAAAAACGACGCGGAAGCTTTGGCTGTGTAACACGTTGTGTGGACAGTCGGCCAAATATAGTACCACAGAACTGGTTATTGTAGTCCTTGCTCCGGAAGCTAGCCAGTGTGGATTGTGTCCCTTTATTCTTTGGCCCAGTTGCCTACTCGTGTGTGTGACGTATTCCGCTGCACAGCAGCAAGACAATGAGTATACTAACATATGCTGGGCATAGATATTCATTCTGTCCTTCATATTAAAGAAGCACAAACGATAGGCTTTGAAGATCGGTGTACTAAAAACCCAGTTGGTCCGGGCAATATATTGATTTTAGCATCTTCGTGTCGCTTAAACAGAAACGGAAGCTGATGCATAGCCTAACTAACAGAGCGAAGAAAATGTGCTCTGATGAAGCGGTAGAATAAGAATTCCGAACTCTCGCCGACCTTCTGAGACACCAAGGACTCCCAGACAGGTTTATTGCAAGGGAGGAACATGGACGAAGCCAACACCGACAAGGTCGCATTTGTAAGGAATCCAGTTTACACTATACGAGGGTTTTTTCCGGTTCGTCCTATCCCTAAAACAACTCCCGCTCTGAAATCTCGAAAAATAAACGGAAATGCATTATGCATTCATATTCAGGTAGCAACCATTTTGTCAGCACCACTGACCACCAGCGAGCTCGAGGTATACTTTCGGTTTGAGCGTGAAAGTGTTCAACAGAAAACCAGTTCTTTGACCTCAATCTTTGGCCCTGCTCCTTCGTGATTCAAGCAGGTGTTACGGCAGATATCGTCAGTCGATTCGACGATGGTTTCAGCGAGTACTCCATCACGCGAGTGCCAAATCAATTACGTGGCGAGGCTCATGAGCGTTCCATATTATATTAATAGTTCGGATGAGCTGCTTGGATGTCGGTCTGCTCGCCGGTGACTAAAGTGGGCGGTGTGGAAGAAGCTAACTCTTACAATACTATACTGTGCTGTTTTTTCTCAAGAACCGTGAAGAAAATAGAAAAGTGCCCATTTCTGTGACACGTCAGCCGCAAAACCTGACGGCAACCAGTCATCATTTGCTTTAAATGTAGATCCGAATTTTTGGCGGATTCTGAGTGAGTTCAAAACAAACCAATCAGTATTTTTCTGGTAGCATGCCGTGTACGTTTTAGACGTGGCTGCATTCACATTTCAACCAGGTTTCTGATCAGATGAAATGTGTATGTTTGCATGTTCCATGAATTACTTTAGGAACCGATGATACCAGCACGATAGTTGACCAGTCTTTGGAAAATGAAGGACTCTGACACGCGCATTTCACTTATCCTTACATTTCTCCGCACAGAATTTTTTTTGAAGTACATTATTTTTCCACGGATTCAGTGGTATAATATTTCCTCACGTTACGCTGTGCTTTTGGCACACCCAGAATCGGCCTATCTAACAAGCCAGAAATCTAAATAAATAAGGCGACCTTTTGGCGGTTAGGAAGAATCTCCAAAGAAATACCAGGCTACATTTGTCAGACCGTCGCGGGGAAATTCTGTGCTCGGTTGAGCAAATTTGAGTATCTGTGCGCGTGTATTTTGTTTTTGCGTCCAATGACTCCGTGAATGAATAACATGCAAGAGTTTTCCGAATTTCCCTGTCTTCGAAACCACTACAGATCTGAATGCCCTCAAATTCAACGGAACTGCGATACGTGTTTATGTTCATGTACCAACAACTTTGTCAGCATCACAGCCAGCTCGAGGTATACTTTTGGTTCAGGCGTCAATGCTTTCTTCAGAAAGCCCGTTCGTTAATCCCGAACACTGGCTCTGTTTTTTCATTATTCGTGCAGGCGTTACGGCAGATATCATCAGTCGATTCGTCGGTTCTTTCAGCGAGCAATCCATTACTCGACTGTCAAACCAATTACCTAGCGAGGCTCGTGTGCGTCCACCGGAAAATAAATAGGTCGGGTGAGCTGTTTGGATGTCGCCCTGCTTGCCCGTGGCAAAATTGAGTGCTGTCAAAGAGGCTAGCTCCCCGGTCGAAACGCTGTGCTCACAAACCTGACTGAAACAAATGGATTTTGTCTCTGCTTAGGTATATATATTTATTTTGGTTGTGCCAACTGCGTTTTTTTCGGCGAATGGGGTGTTGACTTTCAGTAACATTCTATGCGACACCGACTCCACGGATTTGATTGGCGATTGGGATACTCTGTGAATTAGTTCGGTTACATAATATGCGCTCTGTTTTAATCCTATTCAACGGGCAGAAGAACTACTCAAACACAACAGGTTCGAACTAACCGCCATCGGAATAATGTCAAATATGGGTCCTTTATAAACAACACCAAGTCGACTTTTTCACAAATCCAAAACAGAGGCATGTTGCGCTGGCATTCATCAGAATCTCTACGGAAGTGACTGCACAACATTTATGAATACACGGAATTGATATCACCTTTAAGCATGCAAACGCACTGAGTGTTAATCTCTTGAAACCAATAGGAAGAATGATTACTCTAACGGAGATGAACCGGATCAAAAACTTAGTTGAAATGACGTCAACAAACACTGCGTTCGCCAAATTTGAAGAAAGATTGCCACCATAATACACAAGCACAAGTCTGCCAGCTGAAAATAGGGCCTTATATCACTTAGCTCAATGCACGGAGACACAGAACATAACTTCAACTCGGAAAACGACCAAGTACTTGCTCTCGCAGGAACAACTTAGGAGCGATTGTTTTCCGAGTTGTAGTACTACAAACGAAAATCGGCCAACAATTATATCGATATCGAAGCAGTATGTAAGCCATTACGAGCAGAATTACTACATGGTATCGTGTGAAATATAGAAAACTAAGGTAAAACACCAGACCAACTGGATTAAAGAAATAAAGGTACCAAAACAGAAAGTCGCTGAATTCGCCAATCAACGGGAAACATTTAGACCAAAAGTTACGTAGAAAACCACCGGAGCATAGCAGAATAACCACACAGAACTTCGAAATAACATGCGCTCAACGAAACAACTAGCTACAAGCTATTGAGATCAAGTCAGATTCAAAAATGATTAATCAAACTACGCGTGCACCGCATTCAGAGATACCGGCTGCTGTTTAAATGATATAAGAACGAACAGAGGAGAAGTAATTGGCCAACTAAACACCGCGCTGGCGATGGTACTAATTTGGTAAGGTAATGCCAGAAATTCAACTGCCCAGCATGAAAAACACAGTGACAATTAAGATACAGTGAGGATTCTGAGATCGAGTAATCCGAAGACATCATGATAACTAATTGAATGTTGCTTTATCCGCAGATTCGAGGACCTGGCGTGAGAAGGGTGAGTTCAAAAGAAGCCAACGAGACATTTAATACCACAATGCTATGTTTTTTGAAGAGATGCCTAATTACAGAGATCAGGAGATTGTCACATTAGTTTATATGTGTTTTCACGCTTGTTGAACGTTTGCTTAGAAAGGACGGCGCAGATGCCACTGAAGACCACTCTCTTTGCGAGAGCCCGTTTTAAATGTCATGATCACTACATATAAAATGCAATTTGAACAATTAACTCTCAGACAGGTATAAGAACAGTGGACAGCACAGCATAGTTGATGACAGGGACACGAAAGCATGCAAGCTTTCTTCAGAGTATGTCAGACAGAGTGAACTACCGAAGAATGACTACGCTTGAATTCTGAACTCACAGTTCAGACGCTTAGGGGATCAGCATATGGCCACAGTATTTTCGGCACGCCTGTTGAAAGAACCCGCGCCGTGATACAGTGATCGCGGAGGAAGCTACGGTGGACGTTCATAAAAGATTGTTGATTTACCAACTGAGGGGCCTTCGTATTAGTTTAATTAATCCCGAAAATGGCAGGGCAACTACCAATAACTTGTTTTTCAACCTGCCAAGTTATGTTGTACTATTCTGAGATTCTACTCTTATGTGTGCGAGTTGGAAATGCGGAAAGATGTTGCGATCAACGTTGTGCTGGTTCTAATACGCAGCCGACAACAAAGCGTGTTCAGCTTCGCAGGCGTTTGAACGCCAGGCCATAGTGAGATACGCCATAACACTATTCTGAACTAACTTCAACTGGCGCTCATTTGTTATCCAACTAACGAGAGTGTTGCAAACTAGCAGTTTCGAAATCGTGTTCCCAGTCAAAACTGAAGTGTGTGTTCCAATAGCCTTATCTAATCTAAAGCTGGGAGGCTACAGACTATTGAAGGTCGTTTTTCTCTGCGCCAATATGCACTTAAAATCCCATGTGCTTGAATGAAGGTAATTTACAAGGTGCTCAAATAATGATTGATTAAGCCTCTTTCAAGAGTCTGACAGCAACCGCGCCACAATTTTTCGAATTCAGCTAGTTGATTAGTTTCGGACAACACAGAAATATGAAAACAAGACCATATCGGGAGAGAGAGAATACTTGATTCTCCTGTATGCCAATTTTCTTGGACCTAATGACAGCAATTCTAAGCGAATTTAAATTTGTTCCCAATATCACTGCTTCGCTACTTAGCCCAAGGTTTACGAGTCTATGAGGCCGCCGTGACGCAGATATCTGCAGCGTTTGATTCGCTAGACCGCGGTTTTTGAGGTGGTGGTTTTAAAAAACTGTCTAAAATCTGAAGTCTCCTAATAGTCTCACTAATGTTATGCTGACTGATTCGTCCCTTCAATCTGACCTAGTCAGTGAACTTTATCGAAGTGCGAAATTTAACCGGCCTTTTGTAGAAAGATTTTGACCCCACCTAATAAATGTGGGAATACCGGGAAATTTTGAGACATCTGACATTTTCTAGTTTAGAAAGAACTTTTTCTGACCGTTATCATTCGTGATTTCCTACCTTACGTATTGTGTAGGACAAGAATAATATGATTTTGCTGATGAATCCAACGTGTTTTTTTATTGAAACATCGTCCTGGTGTCCGAATTCCCTCGCACTAATTGCCACGTCCATCACAATGATTTGAGTCTTGTGCCATCAGTCGAAAATCTTTCCAGGACATTGGATTGCTTCCATTTTATTCGTTAATTTGTTTGTGTTGAGTATGTTTTGTTCGTTTGGTGCACCGTTACTTGTTATCCAGCGGTGCCTTGTGAATTTGTCCGGTTACAAGGGGGAAATAATAAATTAAAAGTTGCTTCGTCCCTTTAGGTAGATTTTTCACTTCGATGGAAACTGGAGGCCAGCTACTTGCTGCACTTTGAGTTACGATATTATTTATTCTCGCCTAGCTAGGTGATTCATTAGCCACTTGATAAAATTTGGCTTTACACTCTTCAAACCTGAAATTTTTCCAGACGTTACTAGGGGTTTGGATTTAAAAAATGAATTTTTAAGCCAACCAGATAAGTAAAACTGCATGACGAGAAAATTATTTTCTGGGGACTCCATTGGGAAACGTCACTATGGGTAGTGGATTTGAGTGCGCTATCAAAATTAAGCCCGAATT